AATGCAACTTATAATTTGAATGTACAGTTTGCACCTATACATTTATTTGTTCAGTGATATATTCAAATAAATGTATAGGTGTAAGGTAATATATATAAATAACATAAATTAAAATAGTTAATACAATAATAACAAACAAAAGAGAATTCACAAAAAAATATGAAATGATATTGTAGACTATCTGAAATAAGAGTAATGATAAATTTTTTTATGTTAAACTACGCATTGCATTTTCATATATATATTGTCAACCATAAAAGATAAAAACTGTGCCATCATATTTTATTTAAAATTCAATTAAAAATTAAAGGAATGAAAACAAAAGATATTTAATATTTAACTAGCAGTAGTGCTTTAAATTTATTTTAAATGTTATATTTTTATTGTGTGAATAGTCTTTACTACCCAAATCTGATGATAATGATGGAAAGAGTTTCTATTATCCATCACAATGACTGAACCATGACTGACAGCTAATCAGAGTTCTGTTATACTTTGGTTCTCATTTTCAATTATAGTAACAAATTATTTTCCATCATAACAATATTAATAGCCTTTCAACATTCCTGAACCTTTTTACCGATATGGTTTTGACCAGATAAAAAAGGACAGAACCTGAATTTCCTTATTTTATCCCTTCCTTCCATAGCATCCTATGCAGCTCTAAGGAAGATTTCAAAAAATAAAATCTAGTTCCCTATCTCAAAATATAACTTTTTCTTAGAATTTTGCACTTGGAATATAGATTCATTAATAATTTACTAATTTAACCGAAATGCTAAAATCAGAACATGTAAGAAATGTCTTGGCATTAAAGATATGCAGTTTGACTTACCGATTCTTTTTTATTCTTAATTATGAATTTGGTACAGAGATTCAGATTTTTTAAATATTTTTTTTAGATCATCTCAAGAAGGCTTTAATGCCAAGTTACAAAAATTCTTAAACATTATTACGAATTGAAAGGAGAAGACACCAAATGCAGTTATGAAAGTTTTCAATGTTAAGCAATGACTATTAACTTAAATATTCAGGAACATGCTTTGACACTTTTAAGATAATATTGTTAATAAGAAAATAACAATTTTTAAAAATCTGTTAATACTTTGCCTAATTCTATACATATATTTCTCCATCAAGCAAACAACACATTTAAACTGTGCCTGAAATAAAGACATATTTGACACTGAAAGACTACATGAGATCATTTGGCAAAAAAAAATCATCTAATGTGTGAAGAAAACAATTCCAAGAGGCAAACTCGCAACATACAAATATTTCTGGTCAACTAAAGATGAAGCAAGATAGATTCAGACGTCATACAGAACCGAGTAGACGTTCAGGCGTGGACATGCCAGGCTGAAGTTTTAAAAAAACTCTACTACATGAAAAATGTTCAATTTTTGGAAAATTCATTTTAAACCTTGATTTCCAAGGAACAGAAAAAGAGCTTTTAGCTTTTTAATGAAGATTAGGGATGGTCACAATAATGATCCTAAATGGCCTTTTTGTTTTAAGAACAGAACCTGATACCAGAAGCAGCTAACGTTTTTTGAACATTCCCCCCCCCTACTTACAGAGAAAGACCCAATGCAAAATGACAGTCCAGGGTAATTATTCAAAAATTAAAAAACAGAGCAAAGTTAAGATTTTCAACAGTTATCAGTGTGTCCATTTTCAAAGTTCCCCTTAGCTTATTTCAACTGAAGAGTTTGCACAAGAGCCTCACGATACACAAGTTCCTAGGTGAGGACAATGTATTATCTGAATTCCTCATGTATTTAGGCACTAGATCTTTTAAACTGATTATTTTGTTCTTCAGTAAAATTTAGACTTCAGGCTGTCTTCTCTCCCTTTGGTATAAATCGACAATTATCCTGATTTATAAAAATTCTGATGTGTACACCACATGACTTCCTTGTACAAAATATTAAATTATATGCATGCTTTGCTGCAATTCATTTAAACTTATATCCTCAAATTTCCTTAGAGATATATTTCTCATTCAATTAACTCAGTTCTCACTTTGCGACAAGGCAAAAATACATAAAACCTTAAAATATATCAAAAATTATAAAATATAAAAAAATATAAAACATAAATACAGTTAAAACAATTTTTACAATTAAATTAGAGTTTTCTACGCAAAAACAAGGAATTAAGTAATCAAATTCTTGAATTCAAAAAATTATAAAATATAAAAAAATATAAAACATAAATACAGTTAAAACAATTTTTACAATTAAAATTAAGAGTTTCTACGCAAAAACAAGGAATTTGGCCAGCGAGCAAGAAGGCAGATTTTTCAGCGCACAAAACTGAAAGCTTACTTTTGATCTCACTTGGCAAAAAGACACTGATGGCATAGAAACTGACTTAATTTGTTGTGGAAGCTATGCTGAGTCAATATAGGGGATAATTTAATAACTTAAATGATAATTCCAGAATAGATTATGCATGATTTAATTCGCAATAATAAAAGAAGATATCTTTGTTATTGCAAAGCTTAGTTTTTCTAGATTGGCAACAAATCCACTATTCTGCTAAATTTCAAATGTAAACAAATATGGCTGCTATGGTTTTTAAAAAAAAATTAGGCTTATTTGCACTGAAACAATGTTTAAATTGTTGATAATTTTAGAACTATTGCATTCAGGTTAACTAAAGAAATGAAAGCTAAGAACATAATTCAATCATTTTTAAAGCAAAAAATGCATAATTTACCAACACATAAGAATAAAAAAACTGAGCTCATGGAGTCGAGTAACAGAGTGGGTCTATATGCATTTCCCAAATTCCATAAAACACCATTAAAATTCAGATTCATAGCAAATGGAACTAACAACTACAAGAAAAATGTAGACTATTATTTTGCAATTCAGCTTAAAAAATTAGTAAAATTATTTTCAATGCAGTATATATACCGGGTAGCCATAATTAAGCTGACAGTGCTCACAGTGTTCTGTAGCGCGATCTCGAGAATGACGCCTTATTTTGTAGGAAGATTAAACAAGACGGGGGACGAATGATTCCGCGAAAAAAAAAGTTCCAAAAGTCACCACTCGGGGAATATTTGGCGCTGTGTAATAGAAAAATAGAGTGTTAACAAATGCAAATTAATACAGAATAAAATTACCTTTTATTATGCATATGCCTTATGGAATATGGATATGCCTTACAGTACGGTATGGAAAATCTTACGAAAAAATTATCAACTTCTATCCGTACAAGATCAGTCGTGTACAGGAGTTACTGTACCCCGACCATGATAAGCGATTGACTTTTGCTTTCACCTTTCTTGCCAGAATGGAGGTGGATGATGCTTGGCCGTGGAAAATCTTATGGGGAAACGAGGCCCACTTTACCTGAATGGAACTGTGAATACCCAGAACTGCCGAATTTGTGATAACAAACCACCACATGCAGTCACATCAATTCTCTTACATTCACCAAAGTTAACTGTTTGGTGTGGGTTCACAGCAGAAGTTATCGTAGGTCCATTCTTCTACGAGAACATTACCCCGACAGGACCAGAAACCTATTCTGTTACCATAGAGAAATATCGCCACATGTTGAACAGCTTTGTCATTCCGGCACTTCAGCAAAGACAATGCCTGGGGGAAATTATTTTCATGCAAGATAAAGCCCCTCCACACGTTGCTGTAACGTTGTTGCAACAGATGCTATGACAGAAATTCACAACAGAAAGAGTCATTAGCCGCTACTTTCCAACTGCATGGCCACCTCGGTCGCCTGATCTTACCCCCAAGCGACTTCTGGCTATGGGGTTACCTTAAGTCCAAGGTCTATCAAGGATACGTTGAAGGATAACATATCACGGACTGTACGGGAGATTCCTGCAGACATGTTACTTTCTGCTGTTGTGTATACTGTGCACAGAATGCAATATGTGGTCCACAACAACGGCAGCCACATTGAACCTCATTTGAATGCAAAATAAAAGGTAATTTCCGTATTGCTTTGCATTTGTTAACACTCTATTTTCTATTACACAGTGCCAAATATTCGCCTAGCGGTGACTTTTGGAACTAATTTGTTTTTTTGCGGAATCCTTCGTCCCCCGTCTTATTTAATCTTCCTACAAAATGTGGCGTCATTCTAGCAAATAGAGTGCGCTACAGAAAACTGTGAGCACTGTCAGTTTAATTATGTGGCCACCCGTTATTTGATCAGTGGATCTTCCTAAAACCTATAATTTTGAAGCAGAATGAACTAAAAATCAACTTTCATGAATTCTATACAGATAGATATAAATTTTCTGAAATGAGCAAAAATGCTAGACTTTCTAACTGTAATTCATTCTTATCATCTGAGAAGTTGAAAGAATATATTCTCTTGTTAACAGTCTGTAATCAAAGAACAAAGTTAAATGTTAAACAACAAAATTTAAGCTTAAATTAAGTTTTGAGACAAAACTATTCATGGTGAGATCTTGGTAGAATGCTGTCTATCTCTATGATAAACATTTATAAGGGTTCCACTATTGAAGAATAATGATTAGCTCAACATGCATGTCCTAAATTATTTTCTATATTCTTTGTCATATCTGGCTCTTGTTCTATTTGTGATGTTTTTTGTTTACCTAATGAAAATACAGTCAATATAATTTTTACAAGTGAAGAGATCTTCAATAAACTGAATTGGAAAAACGCTGATATAAATAATACACTCGTGAACCCAAAGAATGAAAACTTGGTTCAATAAAGTTTATATGAACTTTACATTTAACCACTTTTTGTAATACCATATTTTATTTAAAATTGCAATATTTTGTTTACACACAATATTTTATATTTTTCTACAGAAAATTTTTTTCCTTGTTCACTTCATAGAACTTAAGACTTTTCATCTATAAGTTTTACTAAATTAAATAAACCAAACATCAAAGCAAAGAATTTCTATTTAAAATTTTTAAAGACAAAATTCTCAAAACTATACATACTAAATAAATTATGTGCACCAATATTACAACACATTACCTTCAGACGTATCACACTTTAGCCTGATTTCGTTTAGAATTTTTATGTTTTAGAGCATTTCTTTCTGAAATAACTATCTTAAAATTTAACATTAATGCGAAAATATGCTATCCTTTTACTCTTGATATTACATAAATGCAGTCATCACAATATTATATATTTATTGAACACAAAGCATTCGCTTATTTGAAAATAAATTCACCTTAGCCATTATTTACATCTCGCGCACTGTTTAAACAGCATCGGACTTGGCAGTTACAAAAACAAAATAAAAATTTTAAATCCAATAAATAGTTCGAAATTTGAATGGAACATGTAAACAAATTTAAAGCACACAGCTTTCAACCTACAACTAATCTTTGTCTTACAAAGGCTACTCTTGAAATCTTGATTTTCAAAGCATAATGGATGTTCCACAAAATTTCACTTTAATAACAAATATCAATAACCGCGAAATTCAAAACGCTTTAGTTCCGTAAAGCTGACAGTAATAACACATATTATTAATAAAAAAAGCCGATAGCATATTCCAAACAAACTTTCCGAACATCTCAACTCTACGCTTAGAAATACAGTTACGGATAAATTTTATTTAGTCGAAATATCGTATATTTCCGAATATAAGTAGAGAAGTAATACTTTATTGCAAAAATTCAGATGAAATTGGAAATCCATATATAAGCCGAATATCCAGTTATCCTATAAATCTAGTTTTGTATATATATCGAGAAAACTGAGAATGAATGAACGCGTATCTTAGACAGACCTATCAAACTAGCTGATGATGAATACCAATTTAGCTTCAGTTTTCATTAAAAAAATAGTGACAACATTGTAGAATACAAGGGCAGTTTTCGTGTTAATAGTCTCTCTTTCTTAATTCTCCCAGCTTTTGCGGCAGCCTCCCCCATTGCCCAAACAAAGAAAGTTAGAATAAATAGAGTAAGCCTCGAATCTTTTCAAAATTTAAATTTAAAAAAAAAATTACTACACCTCAAATAAGTTACTTTGTAAAATATTTCGAAACTTTCAATTTCGATTTGGGGTGAAAGTTCAGCCTAGGCACCAAAGTGTATCAAACACGCCTACAGATCTTTTAAGCTACCGTCTGCTCTGATTGGATGAAACGTCTGTTTGGCGGTCATTTTCGGAATGGCGAGTTATCGCCTTGTAGGCTTTTTAACGAACGCCAAACGCATATTCACAAAGCCTACAGACCTTTTACGCTACGGTCTGCTCTCATTGAATGAAACGTCTGTTTGGCGGTCAATGAATATGCATTAAACACCGTCCAACGGAGATAAGAGTAAGCCTCTCCCCTATATCTACTGCAAATAAAAATGAAGACAATAAACGTTTTGGTATGACGTCATAACTTATCATGGGCGCTGCTATTGCCGGATGCATGTTCCTAAAACATACTCGCTATACCCATAGATACAGGAATACTAACTGCATAAATAACCAGTATAGTAATAGTAAAGTGTATATATATATATATATATATAGTAACAGATAGATTATTATGACTATACCTTCTGCTGTGATAGCTGCTTTGCCGATTCATGACATTTTTAACCACAGCGTTAAGTGAGATTTACGAAATCACGTGGTACTCTGACGTCACAAGTAGTTAAATCAAGTATTGGTATTCTCATCAAGGCTAGCGTTAAATTTAACCGTTAAATTGACGAGACGGCTGTTAAAGTAAGGACAGGTCTGACCCTTCGTGTTAAATAAACAGATGGTTATATTTCCGGCAATAAATATGGCGGAAGGTTTTGCGTCAGTTTTAGCTGAAGCGTGTTTTAATGAAATTAGTCGAATTTCTCTGCGTCAGCAGCGAATTTTCCGTGATCGAAGCAATGCGTTCGATTACATACATATAGACAATGGTAATTAATTTATGCCAAGATTAATGAATTCCGGGCCAGGAGAATGTCGTTGGTGAGGTATTCAGCTTCGTATTTTT